TCATTGGTAAAGTTTCTAAACATTTTGCATTATTTCTTTTGAAGAGCCCTCCCTGAGAAACTTGCATTAAACAGCTAATTAATGTGTTGAAGGATGTCAGGTTGACTTTATTTTAATAACTGTCAGCTCAGCATGGAAAAACATGTCAGCTACCCTTTCTAGCAAGGGTAGTGTTTAGTATTTTATAGGTTTCCTGGTACTTCTTGCTCTAAGTCTCACAAATGAGCTGACTTTTCTGAACAATTCCACCTGACTTAAAAAAAAAAAAAAAAATTCAGTACTGCTTCACTAAGACTTGAAAACAAAGATCCTCGTGTACCCCTCAGTACATGCTGGAAAAAAGTGACTCAGATCCAAATTTGTATTCTAAAGCAGTAATTTAAGCTTGGTTATCTCTTACTGATACAATTTAAGTAAGTGTGGTCACCTTCCTGAGGCTTCTACCTGTGCAGCTCAGGCCAGCTCAGTCTTTGGGTTCTAAAAATTAGATCAATTTCAGTCACTTACTGTTGAGTGACTTCTTGAAATCTATTTCTGTTTAAAATGCAAGAGAAGTTTGAGTAATGTACAAAGCCCCAAGCACACCTTAAAAATTAAAACCTACTTTAAATGCTTACAGTGTTATCGAGGGTTTTCACAAGTTTGCTTTGAAGCATAATCTGTTTGTTTATCTGAGTTAAAAATAGTAATGAAAAACCAGAGGCTATTTAAAAAAAAGAAAAAGCCGTTATTTAACAAACATAGGGAACACTTGTTAATATTCTGACTGTTATTTTATACTAATATTTTTACTTAAAATTTTCTTGAGACTTGGACTGTAATTGTGGTGGTGTTTGTAGTACATATTTTGCTAAAGAAAAGAGGCCAGGGAAAATGACTTTTGCATATACGGTTTGTAGGGATAAAATGAGGGAGAAGATGTCCTGAGTTAAGATTAAAATCCAGGAAGTGAGAGAAATAGACAGCTTAACTCCCAAACTTAGCATATTCCTTTTGAAAATGTTGAAACATGAAGCTTTCAAAATGACACATACCCCAAGGAGCCATTACAAACTCGAACACTGACTTGAGCCATCGTTTGAATTTGGATGCTCTAAATTCCTCCCCAGTCACTTTGCTTTGTTTTTTTCCTGGCTGAGTCTGGGCAAATTCCTGCTCAGCACCTCTGGGCCCTCTGTCTTTCTCTTGTCAAGGAGATTGTCAAAGCATTGATGTCCTGACTTCCTGGGAGTTCAAGATTTGAAGGCTTCCCAACTCCCAGACCAGTTTGCTGCTTGGGTTGCTTAATTCTCAGGGCAGCAGACTCATCAGCCTCTCTGGAAGTGTCGAATTTCACGGCTGTCGTGTATCTTGCATAGTAAACTGCCAAAGAGCTGGCCACTGAGCTTGGCCTTAAACCAAATAAGTTTTGCAATAAGTATTATTCTGGTTGGTGATCAGTTGGAACTGATTAATTTCTGAAAAAGGCTTTGCCCCCCCCCCATTTTTTTTGTGGAGGAGGGAAGGGGACAGATTTAAAAACACTCTGTATTCCAGGTGGTTTTAAAAAAAATCTTGATTTAAAAAAAAAAACCCATCATGGATAGCATGTGCTCCTCAGAATTTCTCCTTCTTTCTCAAAGCATATGCTGATTTACTTATTGCTACTGTAGCTTGGAGAAGAGGACACTTCTCAAAACTGATTTTTAAGTTCTTGACCTTTGTTTTCCAGCCTTTGGGAACTTTGAGCTAGACAAAAGTTATCCTTAAGTATGTTATTGCATGCTCTCTTAGCTGGTAGATTTATAAACTCCTTCTGAACTACCTTTGTTCCTGCCGTCTCTTATTTCTTCACCTGGAATAGTCTTTGTTTTGTACAGATTTGTGTGCTGCATATATTGTAGGAGTCAAAGCCGTTCAGATAAAATCTTTCCAAATTTGTAATTCATTACATAATTAAGAGTACATATTAATCTTGCATGTAACTGTTTATTGCTTCACTTTGCGCATTGGAAGCTATTCTGTTATACTTGTATTTGTGGTCTCTGAGAACTTTAGAAGTCTAAACTTAATCTGTTTTCAATGAATAAGATTTGAGTTCTGTGTTCAGTTTAAACTGAACTGTATTGGGTTAGTGTTGTAACCCCTTGGAGTGACTGACTAACTTGAAATAATTATCTGATGTTAGCTTAACTCTTCTAGAGTCATAATTTTGGTGTTTGGCATGAGCTAGCACTTAAAATGACAGAAGCTACACCAGGCTGGCAAATGGAAAGCAGTAGTATTGGGGAGCAGGACTGTGGTTTTTGGGGTGGGTGGGGTTGTTCAGTTTTAGGGGGTTGGTGGGGAGTGGTATGTAATGCTGACTTAAACTGATTCTGGAAGACATGACAACAGGGTGGAAGACCAACTCCACTGAAATTTCTGGCTGGAGAGATTCTGACTCCACCTAAAGATGGAACAACATGGTATGATCTAGTTCATAGCTATCAGATGTTTTGTTTTGTAAATACATAATTCTCTCTCTGTGACAGTGAGTTCATGTTTTATATGAGTAAAAGCACTTTTATATGGTACATACGGAAACATAAGAATAGGTGGAATGAAGATGTGAAAAGTAGGCGGGGTGCAAACAAACTCCTAGTTAGAAAGCCTCTCTTCAATGCAGACAGTTTGACATTTTCACAAAAGTTTGTGACGGGAAGTTTTTTTGTACTCCCCATTGTAGGAGACTGTTTTGAAGAGATTCCAAACAATGTTGAAACAGTGAGATGCCTGTGTTTTAGTACGTTGTGCTTAAATACTGCTTGTATAACAGCATTTATACTAACCCTATGGAGCAAGATCTGTCACTTACTGGGAAGACTACAAATTAGACCAATGCTCTATTAGAGCAATGAAAATACTGGCCAGCAACTTCAAAGCTGCTACTGTTAGTCCCTAATGTAAGAGGCGAATGACGTAAAGGTATCTAAAACGTGGTATGGCTAGCACTGGAGATAAAATGGAAAGGAATGGCTAACATGGTGCAAAATATTAGCTTCCTTTAAGCATTCCAACCAGTTTAGTCCTCTACTTCCTCCCACTCTTCTTTTCCCCCTGCCCCACCAGTGACTTGCGTATGTACTGCTTTATATATTTCTTTTGCTTTTGTCTTGGAAACAAAATGATGATTCACACTATCTAAAGTACAGTGCTTGAAGAAGGATTTCTGTATAAGTGTAGGTAATTCAAGGAAGATCATAATCTCTGCTGGATTTGGGTTTTTCACTTTAATGTTACCCCTCGCTGGCACCAAAACAGTTAGTTTGCTTTTTCATGCTCCTGTAACAGAGCACAAAATAAGCTGCAACTGGTGTGTGTTTGTTTTGTCATGTTAGTTCTGGCTTTGTTTTTTGAAGTAATGGAGCCTAAAGCTTACTTCATCTCTTCTTGCATTGGTCTCCCAGCGCTATGTGGCATTGTGGATTAAGTCATCTCTAACAATATCTGCCCTGGTGGAGTACAAATCTAACACAAGTATAGCAGAGATATCTTTGTTCTCAAAGACAAAGCCATTTACTTCTTGTTTATCTATGTTATGTTAGGCCTGACGACATTATCCTTTGTGATTTTTTTTTTGATTGTCTCAGATAAGGAATATAGAGCAAACGGGACAGGGTCTGGATAGCGTGGCACTGTTCAGATCTCTCTGCACGTGGCCTCATCAAGAGGCAACTGGCAGTTTTGCAGTGGCTGATGACTTGTGCTCGCTTATGCTTTTCTTGTAAGTGGATCTGTTGATGGTCTATTCACTTTATTAAAATGACTGCAAGAGTCTCTTCCTTACAGGTACGTAAGTAATTTCTTTTGCCCTAAAGTTGTAGCAAATTCTACAGCCTGAACATAAAGGAGAGGAACTTCGTGTAACTAAAATGAGTTGTCTTCTGTAAATGAAGCAGAAGTTAATTAAATCATTCAACTCTAAAATGGTAGCCCAATTTCTATGTAATGAAATACGAAAAAAGAGTTCACACTTGAAGTGTCCGATATATCCTTATCGATGTTGTGAGCTTGTGTAAAAGTGTATGTCAGCAGTTTAATAGAATGTGCCAAAAGCTGGAGATGACTTATAACCTTAAAACTCTGACTTATGCCCAGTAGAAACTGGCTTATTCT